TTTTTTACCGGTTGACATCACATTCATTAGCTACTTGGAGATTGTCTTTCATGTTTTACCTCGACTTAGCTAACTTTATAGCAGCATTATTACTTTAATAAATATTTTTTCATATAAAATATTCAATGCTTAAAAGCAGTAAATAAAATATTCAATAAATTCTTGTCAAAAATGTCACACGGATCACAATTAAATCCCACAAGCTTTAAAATTTATAACTCGATAAGAGCAATTAGCAAAAAAAGATCGATTTTTTTTTGCATCGAGTAAAAAACAAACAAAATCGACACAGTTGACAAGCCATCTTCTCGGTTTTCTCTGTTTGTTCAATCAATTGATCTCGACTAATGTCTACAATTAACACAATTAACATATCTTATTTCAGTTCCATTATTTTGTGCATCATATGTCACATGTCTTTCCTCGTCTCTATTTTACTCGAAAGAAAAAGCAATGACCGGATAGAACTAGATGTGAGTTAAGACTTTAATAAGTTCGGTTAGTGATGGAATTAAGAAATAACAATTGGATTCACATTAAGATGATTTTATTGCAGCTGTTTATTTTTTAAAAAATTTTCTAAGAATTGTACTTTCGTATTTGAGGGGGGGGGGGGGGGGGGTGTTAGGTGGAAGTTAATCGGTTAATTTTTGTTTTGTATCTTTAGAAGGATTCCTCACTGATTTAGTTTTTAACTTCTATTCGCAACTTTCTAGATAAACTTATGCTTGCAAGAAACAGTTGATAGTTTGGCTAAATTAGTTCACATGAATAAAAGATTTTTCAAATAATGCTTAGCACTTCAAACTTCCCAAATAGCTCAAGTCAGTTAGTGAAAAAGCAAGCCAGCACCAATTTAGCGAAACTCTAGCATGGTGCTGGATTTTATTTTAGTGCAGCACCATGCCAGAATAACACCGGTTTTGTGCAGGATTTCTATCCCGAACAGCACAAGTCGGTTAGTGGAATATAAATCCGCTGACATGGCTCTGACATGGTTCTTTCTTCAAATTAAATCCAGCACAATGCCAGAGTCACACCGTTTTGGTGCTGAATTTCTGTTCGATTAACCGACTTGTGATATTTTGGCTTATTTTAACTCAGAGTTGCGATACAGGTTGTCTGTCACATGTACAAAGATTGCAAGTACAGGCATTGCCTATATAGAGACACTGCATGTCAAAGGGAACTCCCTGTCAAAGGAATCGACTGTCAACTGACACTGCTTGTGAGAAGCAATATTTCTTTTGGGCAGGCAGTGCCATACCTTTGACAGATCTGTCACCTGTACCTATTACAGGCGACCTGCATCGCATCTCTGTTTCCATACTCTCAAAAAAATATTCAAAGCATTAAAGTTTATCATTTCCTCATTAAATGAGAGCAACTTATCATAAAAAATTCATCAATAATCACAAAAAAAAAATAATCTCAAGGCACAAGTGCTAACCAATGAAATAATTTCAATTAAGAGATCATCAGTCACAGTTTTTAGAGGATCTATGGTAAACACTAAATTTAATATTAAATCATCTGATCATCTGCTCGTGATAATCACTCAGTCATGAATTGTTTCAATGATGTTAAAAATTCACAGATGTTTAATCTAGATTCAGCTGGTCATGAACCAAAAAAATCCAAAATAATTATAAAATAACCAAAATGATTTTTAAGAATTGATGACGCCAAACTTTCTTTAATGATTCCCGCATGATCACAGTCAGTAATGAATAAAAAGAACAGAAATTAAATTGATTGAAAACAAAAACATTCAAGTCACATGTGCGCGAAAGGAGACGCACATAAATGCACTCATATTTCTCAGAAGTCGTCGTCCAATTGTACATAAAACACACAATATTATTAAACTTTGCATACATATCATGTGTAATACATGACTTAAAGTCGACAGCAATTAAATCAAATTCGATAAAATATAGAAAAACAAAAGTGAATGAAAATAATCACAAATACAGTCACAAATGCCCCTCAAACGCGCGCGACAATTCTCTCGATTCTCCTTCAAATAACCAATAGCAACTGTATTTGTCATATCGAAAAAAATAATACTCTTTATGTATGCTTGAGAAAGAAACTTACTACAGTAGAAAAGTTGTGCTTTTTTAAACAGTTTTTTCTTTGGAAAAAGTTATGTTTGTGTAAGATTTGTCTATTTGCCTGTTCATCAGTTTGTTGGTTCATGCGACTTTTGATCTTTATGCTTATCAGTCTATCTTACATCCATTTTTGCAAAAAAAGAATTTCAATCATTTTACCACGCTTTTTTTCATTTTGTTTTTTTTTTTTTTGGGATTTGAACTCTGGAAAAAAATATTTGATTCGTTCACCCACCCTCACACCCAACGCTATTTCCAGTAATCGAACCAAATATTAAAATTTCCATATGACAATTGCTTAATTTAAGTTGCATATTGATTTATTTTGAAACAATTGTGCATTTTTGATCAATAGCAGGCACTTTTATGGAACCAAAAGCAATTTTTAAGAAACAGCGCACAAAGCTGCATCGACTGAAAAAAGATTTAAATCTTATGGATCACAGGAACCAGTACTTTTTGGCATTTTTATGCTATTTTTCATACATTTTTGCAAAAAAGAATTTCAATCATTTTACCACGCTTTTTTTCATTGAGTTTTTTTTTTGGGATTTGAACTCTGGAAAAAAAATATTTGATTTGTTCACCCACCCTCACACCCAACGCTATTTCCAGTAATCGAACCAAATATTAAAATTTCCATATGACAATTGCTTAATTTAAGTTGCAAATTGATTTATTTTGATACAATTGTGCATTTTTGATCGATAGCAGGCACTTTTATGGAACCAAAAGCAATTTTTAAGAAACAGCGAATAAATCTGCATCGACTGAAAAAAGATTTAAATCTTATGGATCACAGGAACCAGTACTTTTTGGCATTTTTATGCTATTTTTCATACATTTTTGCAAAAAAGAATTTCAATCATTTTACCACGCTTTTTTTCATTGAGTTTTTTTTTTGGGATTTGAACTCTGGAAAAAAAATATTTGATTTGTTCACCCACCCTCACACCCAACGCTATTTCCAGTAATCGAACCAAATATTAAAATTTCCATATGACAATTGCTTAATTTAAGTTGCAAATTGATTTATTTTGATATAATTGTGCATTTTTGATCAATAGCAGGCACTTTTATGGAATCAAAAGCAATTTTTAAGAAACAGCGAACAAAGCTGCATCGACTGAAAAAAGATTTAAATCTTATGGATCACAGGAACCAGTACTTTTTGGCATTTTTATGCTATTTTTCATACATTTTTGCAAAAAAGAATTTCAATCATTTCACCACGCTTTTTTTCTTTGAGATTTTTTTTTTTTGGGATTTGAACTCTGGAAAAAAAATATTTGATTTGTTCACCCACCCTCACACCCAACGCTATTTCCAGTAATCAAATCAAATATTAAAATTTCCATATGACAATTGCTTAATTTAAGTTGCAAATTGATTTATTTTGATACAATTGTGCATTTTTGATCAATAGCAGGCACTTTTATGGAACCAAAAGCAATTTTTAAGAAACAGCGAACAAAGTTGCATCGACTGAAAAAAGATTTAAATCTTATGGATCACAGGAACCAGTACTTTTTGGCATTTTCATGCTATTTTTGCAAAAAAGAATTTCAATAATTTTTTCCACGCTTTTTTCATTTTGTTTTTTTTTTTTTTTGGGATTTGAACTCTGGAAAAGAATATTTGATTCGTTCACCCACCCTCACACCCAACGCTATTTCCAGTAATCGAATCAAATATTAAAATTTCCATATGACAATTGCTTAATTTAAGTTGCAAATTGATTTATTTTGATACAATTGTGCATTTTTGATCAATAGCAGGCACTTTTATGGAACCAAAAGCAATTTTTAAGAAACAGCGAACAAAGTTGCATCGACTGAAAAAAGATTTAAATCTTATGGATCACAGGAACCAGTACTTTTTGGCATTTTCATGCTATTTTTGCAAAAAAGAATTTCAATAATTTTTACCACGCTTTTTTTCATTTTGTTTTTTTTTGGGATTTGAACTCTGGAAAAGAATATTTGATTCGTTCACCCACCCTCACACCCAACGCTATTTCCAGTAATCGAACCAAATATTAAAATTTCCATATGACAATTGCTTAATTTAAGTTGCATATTGATTTATTTTGATATAATTGTGCATTTTTGATCAATAGCAGGCACTTTTATGGAATCAAAAGCAATTTTTAAGAAACAGCGAACAAAGCTGCATCGACTGAAAAAAGATTTAAATCTTATGGATCACAGGAACCAGTACTTTTTGGCATTTTTATGCTATTTTTCATACATTTTTACAAAAAAGAATTTCAATCATTTTACCACGCTTTTTTTCATTTTTTTTTTTTTTTTTTGGGGATTTGAACTCTGGAAAAGAATATTTGATTCGTTCACCCACCCTCACACCCAACGCTATTTCCAGTAATCGAATCAAATATTAAAATTTCCATATGACAATTGCTTAATTTAAGTTGCAAATTGATTTATTTTGATATAATTGTGCATTTTTGATCAATAGCAGGCACTTTTATGGAACCAAAAGCAATTTTTAAGAAACAGCGAACAAAGCTGCATCGACTGAAAAAAGATTTAAATCTTATGGATCACAGGAACCAGTACTTTTTGGCATTTTTATGCTATTTTTCATACATTTTTGCAAAAAAGAATTTCAATCATTTTACCACGCTTTTTTTCTTTGAGTTTTTTTTTTTTTTTGGGATTTGAACTCTGGAAAAAAATATTTGTTTCGCTTATCATTCAGTGCATTTTTGAAACTATGCTACAAAAATGCGCTTTTAAGTTCGTTCACTGATAATCTTCATTACTTGTTTTGCTTGATATATCTAAAGTTTATTTAACGTATTAACACACAACAAATTTAATGCCGAAGCCTATATAAGTCTCATCAGTACACAACATTTGATTTCAGTCGAAAAAATCGGATATCGGTGTGAACAAGTGTACGCGAAATCTAAAAGGGATATATGAATTTATAATTTTCCTTCCGTTGATATCGGATGATCGTGAAACGGCAAATCTCATTAATTTTTTATGGGATACATAAAAAAAGTAGAAGATGCATGTGTAGATATAAAATAAAAAAAAATATATAATTTGGACACGTAAAAAATAAAGTGTGGAAGTGACTAAAGAGAAAAAAAAAATTCAATTAAAAAACTTATTTGCACGTGAAAAAAAAAGTTTATGCAATATTAAAAAGGCACAGACGAGGATAAAAATTGACATAGAGCAGAGAGTGTCAGTGACAGATTTTGCATTAATTGAATTACTGTGTTTTGAGTGAAGTCAATTAAAAAAGTGAGTTTTTCTCTGTTGTACGCCCTTTTATTATGTCTATTAAATCAATGGTCCAACTTACTCTATGAATAAATAATACCGAGCAGCACATGGGTGGGGGATGTTGTGTATTATTAGATTTGCATCAGTGATTTATTTCTTGGGAAGCTTAGGGGGGGGGGGGGCGTGAAGCTTGGTTCATGTGTTGTCATGAAGAGACACAACTTTAGAATGCCTTAAAAATTCAAATCACTCGTGTTACTCGGAATAAATGCAATAAAAGTCACATCTAATAGCCCAGAACTCTGAGAGAAAATTTCTCACAAATATCAAAGCATAAAAATAGATCAAAAGCTGAAGTGTGAAAGAAAAAAAAATCTTAATAAATATCAATTGATGATGATTTTAATTGCACCGCTTGATAGTGCAATTACTGAAATCACGAGGGAATGTCTACAGTTGAATCGGTTTAAAAACATTCCGTTTACGGTTGACGCTATATAAAGCACAAACTTTATTGTCGTTGAGTGAATTCTCTCCTTGTCTTTATTCTTTATTTTGTAGCATGATGCAAAAGAATGAACAATTTTTTATTTGTTGTTGTTGTTAACTTGTTAAACGAATGTGTAAATAGTCTCGTGATCAGTAAACGATATGTGTGGTACATTTGAAACGAGACTGGATCATTTACAATTGTTTGGAATAATATTGATGAGTGTTAAATTATAAAGAAATTTAAAACTGCTCAACTTGTGTCGAATGGGAATTTTTAAAGTTTACATTAAATGACTTTTAATTGAAATGTTTCAAAAAATATTCTTAATTAATTAACAATTAAAATTTTTGTGGCCTTCAAAATGATTAAGTTTGATGACAAAAAGTTATAAAAATCTTTAGATGAATACAACGAACCTTAAAAAATAAATTAATGAATGTTGACTTAGAAGGCACCGAAACTAAGGAGGGGGGGGGGGGGGGATTGGATGATGACAAACCCCTCTATGTCAATAGAGATGTTTTCAATTTGCTGGGGATTTTATAAAACAAAAAACTTTGCCAGTCCCCAAAACGTTTTTAACTGTAGCAAGTGCACCACTCAAATTTTTTAGAGGGTTTAGACCAGGGGCGTAGCCAGGGGGGGCCATAGGGGGCCCGGGCCCCCCCTACGAAAATCTGATAATTGTTTTATTAAGTATTTATAGAGAAGAACCAGTTAATGTAGAGGAAGTGATGGAAGAAATATCAAAATCAGCACGAAAAATTAAATTTAATGTATGAATAATGAATTAAATATTTAAACTTGTGAAGAATGAATATAGATTTAAGGATACAAAATAACTGTTTTTTAATTTTCGAAAATGGGCCCCCCCTTAAAAATTTTCTGGCTACGCCCCTGGTTTAGACCCACTTGGATACAGAAGTGTTGATAAATTAAGAAACTCTGTATAAAATGTTGAGCAATTTGATCTTGAAATTAAACTTTGTATGAGTAAAGAATTTTATTTCTGCTAACTTAACCATGTGCTATGAAATCAGCGTATGACGTCAAATCGTAAACTGTACAAAGTGTTTTAAAATTTGTTTCAATTTCTTCCCTTAATATGACCCAAATGTGAACCCCAGTTAACACTAGAACTTTAACTTTGGTAAAGTTAATTTAAGCTAGCTTTCTTACTCTTTGTTCTATGAACGATCCAAATTTACCAAATTGGAAATAGATTAAAGCAATATTCCACACTTCCATTTAATTTCAATTTCTCATTTTCAATAAAATAAAATAAAAATCTTGACACATGCAAGAGAGACACAAAAAAAATAGCAGCAACATGTAATGGGAAAAAGAAGAAAAGCATAAAAAATCTTAGCAGTTGCATAAATGACATAATGAATTTCAATTTAGAAATGAAAATTGTCATTCTGTGAAGCGAGTAAGAATAGTAAGCGTGAAAAAATATATATAATTTTGCAATAGAGTACATCTGAGACCGATAGCGAAAGGTGGAAAATGTAGAACGATAGATTTAATGATACAGCACCTGTTGTAATTTGAAATGTAGAAGAAAATCTCTTTTTTGGTGCAATTTTGCGGTGTCTATCTAGCTGTTTGGGTGTCTGCCTGTCTTGTCTATGTTTATTTGAGTAGAAGATGCATGCTTGCTAGGCCGATTCGCAGTTAACGAGAGTTAAATTAGTGAGGAAGTATCAAACCACTGCAATAATACCTAGACCTCCAGTTCATAGTGAGATCCGAACCACTTCTTTTATGACATTGCTGTCTGTACTCTACAAATGAAGGCTGTGAGCTTCATTCAGTACATCTGATTCGAACTCATGATCGATGTGACAGTTTTGCGATCATTAGGTACCGAAGCACTAAACTATTCTGCGACCGAGCCACTTTAGCTCATACAATGCAAGCACTTTACCTAAATGCGCCTTTGCTCAACCTTAAACTGATCACGTCTATAAACTTTACAGTTCCATTTTTTTATTGAAGTGAAAGTGGAGAGATAAAAAGCAGCAGCAGCGGGGATATTTCAGAGGCAAATTATAGTTCTTTTTTTTCTATCGTCCGCTTCCACTTCGTGCAATGCCAAACTCAATTAGCACTATGAAATTCTCTTTCCATCGTTCCGCATAAAGCTCTGAAAATTAAACTTTTTTTTTTCATTTTCTTTCTCGTTTTTAATTATTGTGTAAAGTTTTTTACATAGCGCGGTGAAAAATATTCCATAAAATATTATTTTGTGTACGGCGAGTGGAAGGATACTTGAATTATTAAGCTTCAGAATTGTTTAGTGTAGAAAGACTCTTCATTGTGCAGTTTTTAAAATTGTAAAGGAAGTTTTTTCACTTCCATTTTAATTGTGCTAAAAAGTGAATAATAATCTACAAATTAACAAGTGGATATAAACTAGTAACGCGAATATTAAATTGTTTGCATTTATAATTTGATAGAGTAAGAGAATTTTTGCAAAAAAAAATCATATCATCACACTTGTTTGATAAGAAAAAGTGACGTGCTTTAAAAACTAATAGTAAGGAAGCGTGTTATTGAATTGATTAATTTACAAATGTCTAGCCGGGAAGTAAGAGTTGAGAATTATATAGAGGAATATTTTTTTAAACCCTTCTACCTTCGTGTCACACTTTGAGGAAAACTGAGCGACAATGTGTTGAGTCCAGACTTCATCAGACCCCTCTAGCTACACCCCTGAGGTGAATCTCAATGCATATATACTAAATTTAATTAAATGTTCTTATGAAGTTGCCAAAACATAGCTTGAACATTTTTGTAACCCTTTCTGCATCTAAATTTCAAGGAATTGGGAGTCTATTCATGCTCATTTTCAAATACCCAATAAAGATTATAAAGATTCAACTGGGATGAAGTCTTACAGCCTATAAGCATTATTATCCCACTATCCACATTTGAATAATTTCTCCACACTTAAAAAATTACCTGATTTTCATTCAATTCCGATTTATTTCAAATTTATATTCCAACCAAAAAAAAAATATTCACCTTCACACAAAACTCAAAGGTAAAATCAACATGACGCATCGCTGACTCAAGATTTCTTCATACATAAATACTGACGAGAAAATGATTTCTGATGAATAAAATTAGATATTTATGAAGTACTTCTGCGATGATCTTAGAATACCTTAACAGATTTTGATTGCAATTATGATACGCGATAAAGGTGAATAAGTACGAATGATGCTTCGTTGCTCTTCTGGAAAAGCATTATATGATAATTATTAGACTTTAATACTCTTCAAAGATAGTGTCAAGGGAACTGATTTTTGAAATATTTGAGTAAAATTCTACAAAATTAATTTAAAACCGAGTGAAAATTGAAATGATTTTGTAAATTTTGAATATTTTTGATTGAATTTTCTTTGGCATTTACACTTGTGTTTGGGACTATTCATAAATGATGTCCATTAATCAATTGATTCTTAACTGTATCTTTTCAAGGAAGAGAGTAAGAAATAAATTGTGGACATCATAAGTCAATGACCAAATATTACTTACATTGTAATTACAAATTATTGCCTAAATTAAATTGTCTGCATTTGAAAACCACAACATAGTATTAAATGGAACCACATCTTGATCGAAATATTGTGAATGTCATTAGGTAAATTCTTTGGAAAGACACATGTAATTTTCATGCTTCAGTTTACTCAATTTAGAATTCAGAAGTATTAAATCAAAATTCTTCAGTCAGGTACGCAGTTATGTTAAGGGAGGAGGTGGACGACAAGGAAGAATTAAGATGTTTCCTAATTTTGGTACGATTTTATGGAACAATTCAAAAAAATAACCTCCCCTCTTCCTCCCCTGTCACAAAGTGTCACAAAATCCTATACCCCCCATTTTTAAGGGGGTCAGCAAATTTGTCACATCTAATTTTGCATAAAGAAAATCTTAATTTTTGGGAACTTTTGATTGGAAGTCATAGAAAGTGGGGGGGGGGGGTTTGTAATAAAAGTAAAGGGAGTGGGGTCTAAAAATCATAATTTTTGGACCTCATAAGTTTATGACCCTTTAGGAATTTCCTTTCAATTGTCAATTCTTTATCATCTTCAGGGGGGGGGGGGGGGGGAAGAACAAAAATTGCTGAGAAAAAAAAACCCAAAAATGTTTACTGTGATGAAATTTCCAAGTACTCCACTTTGTATTGGAAAAAAAATGTCGAAAAATGAAATATTCGCAATACTTCCTTCCGATGCAGTTTATGACCAAAAATTTGATTGGAACTGATGAGAATCATGATATAAGACCTTTTGACATCTAGTGTGTGGAGTACTTGGAAATTTCATCACGGTATACATTTTTGGTTTTCTTTTTCTTAGCAATTTTTGTTCTGACCCCCCCCCCCCCCCCCTTTTCCCCTGATCATCTTTGATTTAAACTCTTGTCATATTCCAATCTTATATCAACATATTGCTCATACCACACTTTACCATTGCAAAAGGTCTAGATACTTCAGAAATTCAAGATCATATCT